GTCTGGACCCAAGCAATGTTCTAGGTGTCTCGGTCTAGACCCCCTGATTCTAAAATGCTTGGTTACTGTTGCAAAGAGAGCTCATGAGCAGAGGCAATGACACACCCCTGGGGAGAGCGAGGTTCTAGATCACCTTAGCTTTCTGGGTCCCACACACCCTTCTGCATCGAATCCTGGACTGGGGCTGCATGTTCTAAACCAGTTACAGTGCTAGGTTTTCTAGATTCCAGACCAGTCATTCCAGAATCCCACTCCAGAACACCAGCTCCAGAGCATGTTGTTCCAGATCCCAGGGTTCTAGAGTCCAGTCAGCCACCGGCTCCAGATGCAGAGGGCAAAGCTCGCTCCAGTCACAGAAACAGGGAAGGACGCAGGTAGTACTGGGCAGACCCAGAGATGCAAACCTGGCAGCAGCCCTGCCATTCGTTGACACCCCCTCTGCAGTCAGCCAATCAAAGGCACCCATTTCCACCTCATCTGGTGGCTTGGGTTCTGAAGAAGCCTCATGCCCACTGGCTGAATGCTGAGACGAATTCCAGCCAATCAAACGTGCCCGGTGCCCACACACAGGCTGAGAAGAACCAGGGTCCCTGGACACAGATACTAGGGACTGGGCCCTCCCCACACTCACCCTCCAGCTCGGCTGCCTCCCGCGCCTCCCTCTGCAGCCGCTGCTGCAGCAGCTCGTGCTGCTTCTCCAGGTATTGCTTGATGAAGCTGTTCTGGCTCATTTCCTCGCCGATCTGCAGGGAGATGAGAGGGTGAGGGGGCAGGATGCCTGGGTTCCATCCCTTGCTCTGTGGGGGGATGGTAGTTAGTGTGGGGGTGGGGCTGGGAGGCAGGACTCCTGGGCTCTCTCCTGGTGCTAGGAAGGCAATGGGCTCTAGTGGTTAGGGTGGGGGGGGGCTGGGAGCCAGGACTCCTGGGCTCTCTCCCAGCTCTGGGAAGGCAGTTGGCTCTAGTGGTTAGGGCAGGGGAGGAATGGGGGGGGGCTGGAAGCAAGGATTCCTGGGTTCTTTTCTGGCTCTGGGAAGGCTGTGGGCTCTAGTGCTTGGGGGGGGAGCCAGGACTCCTGGGCTCTCTCCTGGCTCTGGGAAGGCAGTGGGTTCTAGTGGTTAGAGGCAGGGCTAGAAGAAGGAACAGCTCCTCGCTCTCACTGTGGGCTGGCGGTGGCTGCACCTGCACCCTGCACCCAGGCCCCCCCGGTACTCGTGACGGGCCTCACCTGGGAGTTAGGCTGGAAGGTGGCGTGCAGGGTTGAGTGCTTCTGGAGGTTCTCAAGCATCAGGGCCTGGGGTGGAGAGACACCGAGCTCAGAGACGGATCCCTGATGCCAAAGGGGCCCCCAGCCCTGGCCCCCCAGCCCAGCCTCCACTCCCCAGCTCCTCCAAGTCCTCCTGTCCCAACCCTACACACAGGGCCTGCCCCCGCCCAGCTGAGCCTGACCCTCACACGTGTGACCCAACACAACCATCCAAGTGCTCTCTTTTATCCCATCCACAACCCAACTCCCTCAATGCACCGCCACAGCCCGCCGAACTGCACAGAGCCTCTGCAGCCTGACCCAACACCATCTCCCCACTCTTCCAAAGCCACGTCCTCCCCCAGCCTTCGTCCGTGACTTGACCCAACCCAGCTACGCCCACCCCAACGGCCACCTTCCCACCCAATGTCCGTTCGCAGCCCCTCCAACTCAGCAGTCATCCCATCAAGCCTACATTCAAGGCCTGACTCAACCCTACCCATGCAATGTCTTGTCTCTAACCCACCCCACAACCCAAGACCCCCAGTCGACTCTCTCAACACAATGCCCATGGGCTGACCAACTCAGTGTGTGCCATCCAACCCACTGCCCCTCCACAAGCCACAGACCTAGCTACATAGCCCTGAAAATCCACCATTGCACCAGACTCTGAACAGTCTCTGCCACATTCCTGGACCGTCCCAGGACATCCGCCATCCAAAACAACTCCACCTCGACACAAGACATGTCAGTCATACTCAATCCGCCAACATCCCCATGCATCCCACTCAAAAGCCACCTTTCAACTCACCCATCCAGCTTCAGCCCACCTCAATCCATCTGCTGCCCATATCCGCGCCTGCCAAATCATCAACCCAACAGAACAACACAAGAGTGGCCTTCCAACCCCACCCAGGTCAGCGCTCTGTTACAGACTGGGTTCAAAGCCCATTATTCAATGAGATGAAAAGCTGTCCTTCATTCAGGCTTAGCACAAGTAACAGTAGAAGTCTCCAAGGCCACTCATGAATACAAACAACTCAGACACAGAGGTATGTGTGGGTCAGAGTGTGGGAAGACTAGATTCAGCACAAGCAAGAGAGAGACATGGACAGAGGGAGAAAGCCAAGCCGACAGATTGGAAGCACAGTAACATGGCCTGAAGAGAAAACTAAAAGCTCGGGACAGTGAGCACAGGAACCAGCTGCTGGTGTTGGATTCCTCCTGCATTCAGAGAAACAAGATTATGTACATTCTTGGTAAGCAAACAAAACTGCATCAGACAAAACGCCAGATTCCATCGCCAATTTCTACTCTCAGCTGGAAAAACCCCAGGGCACTGGACTAGTCACTTGACCCAGTCACTTGATACATGTAAACTAATCTTCTGAACACAACCACCACCCAATCCAATTCCACCGCACAACTCAACTACAACACAGTGCAACATCAGGTGTCCAACCCAACCACCACCCCCCAGTCCAGTTCCACCGCCCAAACCAACTACAAAACAAACCAACATTGGATGCCCAACCCAACCACCACCTCCCAATCCAATTCCACCACACACTCAACTACAACCCAACGTCAGCTGCCCAACCCAACCAGCACCGCCCAATCCAATTCCACTGCACAACTCAGCTAGAACTCAGCCCAACATTGGCTGCCCACTCCAACCAGCACCGTCCAATCCAATTCTATGGCCCAATTCAACTACAAACCAACCCAACAATGGCTGCCCAATGCAACCACCACCATCCAATCCAATTCCATCGCACAACTCAACTAGAACCCAAACCAACATCAGATGCCCAATCCAACCACTACCATTTAATCCCACTGCACAACTCAATTAGAACCCAGCCCAACATTGGCTGCCCAATCCAACAACCACCACCATCCAATCCAATTCCATCTTGTAACCCAACAACTCAACCCAATGTTGAATGCCTAACACAACAGTTGCCATCCGACCTATTCCACCATATATCTCAGTGGTAGCAGATGACAGAACAAGGAATAATGGTCTCAAGTTGCAGAGGGGGATGTTTAGGTTGGATATTGGGAAAAACTTTTTCACTAGGAGGGTGGTAAAGCACTGGAATGCGTTACCTAGGGAGGGGGTGGAATCTCCTTCCTTAGAAGTTTTTAAGGTCAGGCTTGACAAAGCCCTGGCTGGGATGATTTAGTCGCGGATTGGTCCTGCTTTGAGCAGGGGGTTGGACTAGATGACCTCCTGAGGTCCCTTCCAACCCTGATATTCTATGATATCTCAGACGCAACCCAACTCAACATCCATCATCTAATACAATCCCATCATGTCATTCAACAATAATCCAACATCAAGTGCTAGCACAACATTCACCCTCCAACCAAACCGACTGTGTCCCTCAACCACAACTCTACCAACCATGAACTGTCCAACACAACATCCACATGAAGCCCTGCCACCCAACATTGGTGGTAACGGAGGGATTTCCCCAAGCCTCACTGTCCTACAGAATTTGTGGTAGCAAGAGGATCCCCCCAAGCCTCACCTCTGTGGTTTGTGGTGGCAAGGGGATCCCCCAAGCCCCACGCTCCCTGAGGACGGCGGCAGTGTGATCTCCTCCAAGCCCTGTCCCCTGTTGATGGTAGCAGTGGGATCTCCCCAAGCCTCAACCCCTCATTTGTGGTAGCAATGGAATCTCCCCAAACCCTGCTTCCCATTGGAGTCAGGAGTGGGATCTCCCCAAGCCCCACCCTGCCGCTGGTGGTGCCAGTGGAATCTCCCCAAAACCCTGACTCTTGGTGTGGGGGGTGAGATCTCCACAAGTCTTGCCCCCACTTAGTAGGGGCAGTGGGATCTTCCCAAGCCCGGCCCCCCGTTGGTGGGAGTAGTGGGATCTCCCCAAGTCCTGCTCCCCATTGGCGCCGGCAATGGGACTCCCCAAGCCCCGCCCCCCGTTGGTGGGGGCAGGGAGATCTCCCCAAGCCCCGCCCCCCCTGCTGGCGGCAGTTGGCTCTACCCCGGCCCTCCCCCCACCCTTGCGCCCCCCGGGCTCCCCCTTTCCGCGCCCCCCGCCCGTGCGAGGGTGGGATCCCCGCGCATGCGCGCTGGCTTCCCTCCGGGGCCCCGGGGCCCTGTGCCGGGCGGGGAGCGGGGGTCCCCCTGCGCATGCGCACTGCGTCCCACGCCTCACCCCACGGAGCCGCTTGATGAGCGCGCTCTTCTGGCCGCTCTTGGCCAGGCCGCGCTGCTGCAGGGCCGCCTTCAGGTCGGCGACCCGCAGCGCCTGCAGCGGCCTCCCGTCCAGAGTCACCTCCTCCCCGTCCGCCATCTTGTGTGGCGCCGCTACCGGCCTCCTCCCTCGCCCGGCCCGGGCCCGCTCGGCAACTTCCGGCCGCGCGTCGGCTCTTTCCGGAGCCGCTCGGCCGCCTCCGGGCCGCCCCTCGTGCGCCTTCGGCTCTTTCCGGCGCCGCTCGGCGACCTTCGATCACCCGGAAGTGCCCGCCTCGGCTCTTCGGGTCTTTTCGGCCTCACTTCGGGCTGCGCCGGTACCGGCGCGCACCCGGAAGTGGACTTCGGGACTTTCCGTCACTCCTCGGGAGCTTCCGGGTAGAGGCTCGGGACCCGGAAGTGAGGTCCAGCGGTGCTTGGATGAGTCCGTCCTCACTCGGAAAACATCGAGCACGTCCGGCGCCGACTCGGTTTCGTCATTGCGCATGCGGCCGTCGCCAGCCGTTCGAACGCGCTCGGTTATTTCCGCCGACAGGCGAAGGAAACAAGCGTGCGCTCGGGCCGCTCCGGAAATGCTCGGATGCTTCCGCCCACCACGCGCGGAGGGGCCAGGGTGAAAACGAGGCTTGGCCTGGGGCTGCGCGTGGAGGCGCCTGGCGATCGCGGTGTGGACCCGGGTGAGGACTGAGATTTGCCCCGGCTGGGCTCTGCCCCACTCGGGCCCCGCTCCTCCCCCTCTCTGCCCCAGGGCGGGGCTAACAGCACTGGGACGGGGCTACCCCGGGCGGGGCGGGGCTGTGCCCAGGAGGGCGGGGCTAACAGCACCGGGGCGGGGCTGTGCCCAGGAGGGCGGGGCTGTGCCCAGGAGGGCGGGGCTAACAGCACCGGGGCGGGGCTATCCCCAGGAAGGCAGGGCACTGACCCAGGCACTGACCCTTCTCTCCCCAGATGGCGGGGCGCCCCCTGCCGGTGCACGGGGCGGCCCAGGAGATGCGTTGTGTCCTGCACTGGTTCTCGGGCTGGGCACCCCCCCAGCGCCAGCATTTCCTGCGTGACCTGCTGGCCAAGGCTGTGCCTGGCAAGCTGCGCCCCCTGCTGGAGGGGCTGGAGGCGCTGAGCCTCTCCGGGGCCTCCTGCCCCGCCCCCTCCCTCTTCCAGTGCCAGCTGCGCCTCTGGGACCAGTGGTTCCGGGGCTGGAGCGAGCCGGAGCGCAACCACTTCCTGGCCCGGCTGGAGCAGGTCGACCCGGACTTCACCGCCCACTTCTACTGCCAGCTGGCGGCCACCGCTGGGCAGGAGTAGGTGGCTGGGGCTGCCCCCCGCACCGTGCCAGGGACCCCCTTCCCGTTCTGTGCAGGGGGGTGAAAACCCCCCACATCTGCTCACCAGTCTCCATTCCGCTGAAGCGGTTTATGTAGGACCTACCAATAAGGCAATGCATCACCAGCAGGGGGCTCTGTGACAACCCCTCCCCCAGTGTGGCTGGATGAGCCTCAATTTCATCAAGAGGACTTCTGTTTATGTGGGTCCTACAGTAAGTTGGCCTGTTGATGTAAGACCTACAAGAAGTTGGCAGCTGTGGGGAAGGCACAAAGACCCTGTGGCAAATCCCTCCCCGCCTTACCTCAGGATGAACATCACTGTCCTCAGGTGACTTCCATTGTCATAGGACCTACAATAAGTGAGTCTGTTTACGTAGGACCTACACATAATTACATCAGCCAGCCAGGTGCCCAGCGGGGGTTGCCGAGGCCCCAGGGCGACCCACTCCATGCCAGCCACCACGGTGGCATCTGCTGACATAGGCCTGACACAACTTTATGCACCCTACCCCCCCGCATGGGCTACACTAGTGGCCGTTTCTTCTTGGGGACTTGTTTACGTAGGACCTACAGGCCTGTCCTGAGTGCCTGGAGCAGCCGGCAGAGGCCTGGGGAGGGGGACGGTTACTGAGTTATAAACTGAATGGGTCCGAAAGTACCAGCGCAGCGTCCCCGTGTGGTCTGTTCACAGTGCTGCCACGGGGTGGGGGCTGGGCGCCCAGACTCCTGGGTTCTCTCCTCAGCTCTGGGAGGGGGTGGGGTCTGGTGGGTGAGAGGAGGGGGTCTGGGAGTGGGATGGAGAGATGGAGGGGAGTGCAGAGGGTGAGGGTTTCCCTTGGTGGGGTGGGGGGGTGCAGCGGGGGGCACACAGGTGGCGGGGGAAGGCGCACTAGGGGCGGGAGAGGGGGGCGCACAGGGAGTAGGGGAGGGGATCTCTCAGCTCCACCCTGTGGGTGGCGAGACCGAGACCGGGAGTTTCGCAAACCGGCCCCATGGAAACGCCCGGGGGGGGCTGCGGGGTAACGGCCTGTTTCACAATTCAGTGCAATCTCCCTGCCCCAGGGGGGGCAGGGCCTTGGCCCACGCTGGGGAGGGCAGGGGGGGACGCTCCGCTTCCGGGGGGGGGGGAGACAGTGTCTCTGTCCCGCCCCCCAGGCAAGTCCGGAGGTTGAGACACCAACCACGGGCTGAACCAACCGGCCTTGCACAACGCCTGCGGCCGGGGGAGGGGAGACAGGCCACAGCCAAGGACCCAGGAGTCCAGGCCAGTGCCCCACGGGTCCCCCATCGCTCCCAGGCCAGCAGAGAGAGCCTGGGATGGGATCCGGGCAAGCCCTGAGCAGTCTGGGCGGTGGCTGGGGGGGCAATGAGCCAGCCTGACTGGGATCCCCCAAGCTGCAAGGGTCCACTGCTCAGCCCCCCCAATCTGTGCCCCCTAATACAGGTGACCTCCCCCCGTTTGTGGCTGGACCAGGGTTGCTGCCCTGCTTCTGGCCTAGCTGCGCCTCTGCCTCAGTTTCCCACAACACCCCGCAGCCCAGTGTTTCTTCCAAATGGGGGGTTGCAGCCCTTGGTTCATCCGATTCCTGCCTGCCCCCTGCGGCCCCACATCCTTCCCTGGGGAGGGGGCCAACTAATGATCATGGGGTGCTGGGCTCCCAAAATGGGCGGGACATCCTGTGACGGTGACCCGGGGGGCCAGGGATCACTGCCCCCTGCCTCCCCACAGATCACAGGGACCCTGGGGGCCAGCAATTGGCTCCCCCTTGCCACCCACAGATCACCGGGCCAGTGACCCCGGGGACCAGCAATTGGCATCCCAGCCCCGACGGATCACCGGGCCAGTGACCCCGGGGACCAGCCCTTGGCCCCCCCGGCCCTGCCCCCACGGATCACTGGGACAGTGACCCCGGGGAGCCGCGACCAGCCCCCCTACCTCACCCCCCACAGATCACCAGGCCCGGAGGTGTAAGCAGGTTTATTGGCCGGCTCAGCTGCAGGCCCCCAGCCCCTTGCCCAGCACGACGGCCTCGGGCACCTGGCGGAAAAGGGCCCGGAGCGTGTCGAGCTCCTGGCTCAGCTGCGCCACCCGGCTCTGCAGCCGCTCGTTCTCCGCCGCCAGCTCCAGCACCCGCTGCTGCGTCTCCAGCACCCGCCGCTTGGCCTTGTCCCGGCTCTTGCGCACGGCGATGTTGTTCCGCTCCCGGCGCAGCCGGTACTCCAGGCTGTCCTTGTTCACCGCCTTCTTCCCCTTCCCCGGGCCCGGCGAGGCCAGCAGCGGGCTGCAGGGGGGGCCCTGTGGAGAGAAACGGCCAGCTGGGGCTGTGGGGCAGGAGCGAGGGGCACCAGCAGAGCTTTTGGGAGGGAGCCCAGGCCTGGGCTAGCAGGGGGGCCCTGTGGAGAGAAACGGCCAGCTGGGGCTGTGGGGCAGGAGCGAGGGGCACCAGCAGAGCTTTTGGGAGGGAGCCCAGGCCTGGGCTAGCAGGGGGCTGAAGGTCAGGAGTGAAGGGCACTGTGGCGGGCTGCAGGTCGGGAGTGAGGGGCACCGGGGGGTGTAGGGGGCTGCAGGTGGAGAGAGGGTGGGTGCTGGGGGGGGGCTGTGGGTGTGAAGCAGGGAGATGCCGGGGATCTGCGGGTTGGGGGTGTGGGGGGCTGCAGGAGGGGAGCGAAATGGCGCTGTGGGCCGGGAGTGAGGGGCACCGGGGGGTGTGGGGGGCTGCAGGTGAAGAGAGGGTGAGTGCTGGGGGGGCTGCGCGTGTGAAGCAGGGAGACGCCAGGGGATTTGTGGGTCGGGAGTGTGGGGCACGGAATGGCGCTGGGGGCTGCGGGCTGGGAGTGAGGGGCACCAGGGAGTGTTGGGGGCTGCAGGTGGAGAGAGGATGGGTGCTGGGGGGGCTGTGGGTGTGAAGCAGGGAGACCCCAGGGGAGCTGCGGGTTGGGAGTGTGGGGCACCGGAGGGGTGTGGGGGGCTGCGGGAGGGGAGTGGAATGGCGCTGGGGGCTGCGGGTTGGGAGTGAGGGGCACTGGGGGATGCGGGGGGCTGTGGGGCGGGAGTGAGGGGCACCTTACCTTGAGTGTGCGCAGGGCCGGGCCGGCGCCCCCTGGGGGCAGGCTGATGGCCGTTTGCCCACAATGCGCCACCTGGAAGGGCAGGGGGTTGTAGCCACTGCGGCGCCCGGGCTCAGCCCCCCGTGGCTCCTCCTTCACCAGGGTGCCGTAGCCCTTGTGGGCGGCCCCGTAGCCCCAGGGCTCCCCCTGCAGGTAGCCCGGGTAGGGGGTACTCTTCGGTGCCCGCTGCGGGGGGCCCTGCAGAAGCTCCGACAGCAGCTGCTCATCACCAATGTAGGCAGCCAGGTCGATGGAGCCCTCATGCTCCCCGAGTGCCCCCAGCTCTGACGCCATGGGACGCGGGGGGGCCCGCTCGCAATCGTAGAACCCCCCCTGCGACATGGCTGTGCTCTCTCCCTGCGCTCGCGCCTCGCTCGCTCCTTCGCCTCTCTCCCGCCACTCGCCACTTGCTCGAACCTCTTTGCTCTCAGTCACTTTATTTGTTTCTCTCTCTTGTCCCTTCCTTCCTCGCAGGCTGCGTCTGCCGCTTGGTCTTGCCTCTCTTCCTCTTTTTCACGCCAATTCGTTCCTTCGTTTCTTTCTCTCCGTCAGTCACTTTCTCCTTCGTCCCCCTCTCCGCCTGTTCGTCTCTTTCTTGGGTTTTCCTCTCTCGCTGATTTTCTTTCTCTCCTTTTTCTCAGATTCGCTCCTTTTCCCTCTCTCCGTTGGCCCCTTTCTCCTGCTGTCTTTCCTCCCCTCTGTCTGTGTCTAATCCACCCCCCCCCGCCCCCTGCAGTCCCCTGTAGCTTCTCTCTCTTCTCTCAGCCCTGTTTCATTCCCTCTCTCCGTCCAGGTCTCTGACGCGCTCCCCCGCTTCTCTTCCCAGCTCTGCCTCCTTCTCTCTCTCTCTCTCTCTCATTCCCCCCATCCCCCCGCCCCCCCTTTTCCTTCCTCTTTCCGATGGGCTCCCCGGCTCCCCCTGCTGATGGCCCCAGGGGACCCCACCCTGCGACAGCCCCAGAGAGGGGGCCCCCTTCCCTGCCCTCCAAGGAGGCTGGGCTGATGGCAGTGGACATCTCCCCCCAGATGTCTGGGGGAGCCCTGGGGGCCGTAGCACCAACCCTCCCTATGCCCCCTCTTTTCAAATAACACCCCAACTTCACCCCTCTCAGCCCCCAGCCCCGCCCCATGCCCCACAAGCCACATCCACTGATTGACTCCACCCCCGCTAGCCCAGCCCTGTCCTCCCAGCCCTGCTGCCAGTGCCCCTCACTCCCGACCCGCAGCCCCTGCTAGCCCAGCCCTGCACCCCTGCTCTGCCGGTGCCCCTCACTCCCAACCTGCAGCCCCCACTAGCCCAGCCTTGGGCCCCCCAGGCCTGCCAGTGCCCCTCCCTCTGGGCCCGCAGCCCCTGCTAGGGTAACCAGACAGCAAATGTGAAAAATCGGGACGAGGGGGGGTAATAGGAGTCTATGTAAGAAAAAGACCCCAAAATCGGGACTGTCCCTATAAAATTGGGACATCTGGTCACCCTAGCCCCTGCTAGCCCAGCCCTGCACCCCTCCTCCCCCGCAGCCCTGCTGGTGCCCCTCACTCCTGACCTGCAGCCCCTGCCCACCCCAGCTCTGCCAGTGTCCCTCACTCCTGACCCACAGTCCCCTGCTAGCCTAGCCCTGGGCTTCCCACCCTCTACCCCACACAGTTGCCCTGGGCCCGTCAGCCCAGTGGGGCAGGCCTGAGGTGTGAGGGCCATCACTGGCCACAAGGTGGCACCATTACATGAAAAATCCCATCCCAGGTGCTGTGGGAAGGCCACTGGCTGGGGGGGTAGGGGGGGAAGCTACTGGCATGGGGTGGGCACTATGGGGCAGGGATCGCTATGTGTGGGGGAGCTCCTAAGAAGGGGTGCAGTGGGGGGCACTGGCTGGGGGTGCAGGTCCCAGCAGGGGGTGCTGGAAGGCACTAGGTGGGGGGGGCCCCCAGCAGGGGGGGCTATGGGTGTAGGTTCCAAAAGGGGGGAATTACAGGGGTCTCAATAGTGGATGCTATGGGGTGCCAGGGGAGTGCCAATAGGGGGCACTGGGGGGTCTCAGCATGGGGTGCAGGGGGGGATCTCAGCATCGGGTGCAGGGGGTCCCAGCAGGGAGCACTGGGGGGGTCCCATGGGAGTGCAAACAGGGAGCACTAAGGGGTCCCAGGAAGGGCGTCTCAGCAGGGTCCCTGTGGGTCCCAGCAGGGGGCACTGGGAGGGGCCCAAGAAGGGTCCCGGGGGTCCCAGCAAGGTGCATTATGCGGGATGCCAGCAGGGGGCGGTTATGGGGGTTCCCAGTCCTCAATGTCCTCAGCCCCCCAGCTAGGCTCCACAGCGTTGAGGTCATTGTATTTATTACATCAAAAACCAGAGACAAACGGTCGAAAGGCCACAAAGTTGGGGCCCGAACGTCGGGGGCCAGAGAACAGGGTTAAGGCATCTGTGAGTGATGGAGCTCCCACCTCTGGCAGCAGGGGGTGCTGTGGGGAGCGGGGCAGGGGCCGTGGGGAGCCGTGGAGAGCGGGGCGGGGGCCGTGGGGAGTGGGCCGTTGGCAGGGGCAGGCGTTGTGGGGTGCAGT